AAGGAGCTGGGGTACGAGGACAAGGAGCTGGGATACGAGGACAAGGAGCTGGGATACAAGGACAAGGAGCTGGGATACAAGGACAAGGAGCTAGGATACAAGGACAAGGAGCTGGGATATGAGGACAGGTAGTGCGTGAGGCCACATGGCCGCACAGTTGTGGGTCATCTCCACTACTTGTCAACACAAGCCGCTTGACCAATGCCTCCCCCCTTCAACCAAGGCACGTTTTAGTAGCCCTAGTTCAATTACAGTGCAACTCATTCTATTGTAAGGCAAAGGTTACAGTTACAGCAAGGCTGGTAGGTTGGACAAGGAGCTAAACCTCATTCCTCCGTAGTCACTGACAGACAAGTGCTGATAGGTAAATACACCCGCTTAAACGTCTACTGCTACGAGTACATTAAGTACTGTACTACCACAACTGACTACTACTACTACTATCACAACTACTACACTCATTCCTACGACAATTAATAGTTTGCCATTACTGCTACTATTCCAAGTGGCCCTCCTAGGCGCCACGACCTAACACCACCTGCCCACACTCCAGAGACGCCCCTCACGACCACCAGTCGAGTATAACTTGACAGTAAGGGACTGATGAGGCAGAGTTACCCACCCTGACAAGTAACGTCGATGATGGTGGTGTGACCAGAGGCCGTCACTGTGTAGTGTGTGACACCCGCGTGTAGTGAAGGTTGAGCAGGGGCTACTGTACTCACCGTGTATCTCCGGGGGTGGGGGGAGGAGGGGGGGTTTGCAGCGATGGGGTGTACTCACATAGTTGTAATCACCTAGGTATTCTTGCCAGGATTAAGCTCCGGCTCCTTGTTCCCAACTGTCAACTGCCAGTCAACCGGTGTACGGGTTCCTAAGCCTACTAGGCTCATTATAATATCCACATTCCGAACTGTGTATACAGTCAGTACCAAACCTTGGAGTTGTTCCGGGGCTTAGCGTCCCCGCGGCCCGGTCATCGACCAGGCCTCCTCGTTGCTGGACTGGTCAACCAGGCTATTGGACGCGGCTGCTCGCAGCCTGACGTATGAATCACAGCCTGGTTGATCAGGTATCCTGGAGATCACTTCTGAGTGCATTCTGTTTAACTATTACTTTGAAACTTGAAAATATCAATCTAGTATGTCTATGGCTCATTTGGGTAATCAATGTCCACCTGTGTCCACTTGTTCGCGTACCACCCGTGGAAAATAGTTAGTATTTACCCTGCCAATTCCTAAGAATTAACCAGTAGCCTTTCATCTCAAGTCATATCTCTCTGGTACAGTCTGGTGGTGTATCTCTGAGCTTTCTCAAACTTCGTCTTGTGTTTGACTACATATGGACTCCAGGCTGGAGCTGCATACTCCCATGATTGGTCTGACATATGTGCTTTACAAGGTTTTGAATGATTCCTTGCACAAGTTTCTAAACTAAGTTCTTCTGGGGGCCAACCTCTAGCATAGGTCGCTGATAACCTTTTGATCAGGGCTTTAGGAGATAGGTTCAGTCTTATATGAACTCTGATCTATTCCCTTTACCCCCTTCTTGCAACCCGTTCTCGCAAATTCGTAAAGTCAATATTGACTTATTAACTACGTAATAGGTGATATACTAAACATAATAGATCCCCTTAAAAAGATTCATAGAAAACACCAACCTTACCTAACCTTGTTAGTATCTTAAGATAAGCATCTTATTGCTTCGTAATTACAATTATTACTTAACCTATACCTATTATAGGTTAGGTAATAATTGTAATTACGAAGCAATAAGATGCTTATCTTAACATACTAAGTAGGTTAGGTAAGGTCGGTGTTTTCTATGAAGCTTTTCAAGGGAAACTATTATGTTAAGTATGTCACCTATGCACATATTTAATAAGTCAATATTGACTTATTAAATTTGCGAGAACGGGTTGCTTCTTGTAGGATTTCATCTCCCAATTGGTACATTGTGTACAAGTCGCATACTCCAACACTGGTCTCACGAAGGTTGTGCAGTGCTCTAAATGCCACTTTGTATACACTTACGACAGCTACACGGATTCTTGCCAGGTGTGTATATGGTATATGCCGTGTATGTATATATGCGTGCGAGCATGCGTCGAGTGCTTGTGCGTCGTGAGTGACCTTGTGTGAGCAACAATGATGAATCACACCATTACAAGATCACTTGCAAACGTTTATGTTTATGTTGCTTGTAAGCGGCCGGTGACACGTGGCGGCGTGGCTGGCGGTGCTCAAGACTGGGCGTGACACACAATGTGCTAATTGAGTGGTTCATTGAGCAAACTGGCCATGAGGGCCGTCACCGCGGCCAGTTGCTACACCAGTCATAACCGCGCACTCTTCCCCGCTCCTCTTGCTCATCCCACACCAGTCACAACCCTCCACCGGACTCTTTACCTCCACTTTACCTGCAGAGCATTTCGGGAGTTTTTCTATTCCCAAGTTGGGCCTCGGACCAGGCTAGTCTGAGGCCATGTGGGCCTGCAGGCCGTACCAAGCAACAGCCTATTGGACCAAGTTATCACAAGTCGAGCCTGGCCCCACGCCGGGGCTCGGGGAGAAGTAGAACTCCAGGAACCCTCTCCAGGTTTGCTCCAGACTTGACTTGAGAACTTAGTCCAACACACTGTTGTGTTTAGTTATTATTATTAACATCTTTATTGACAAAATTAATTACAATTTTGCCTAATCTGAGGATTTTGATAGGTCTTATTAAATTGAGGATAATGCTAGTATTCACTGCCACGCAGGACAGAGGGTCATACATAAGACAATAGGTCTAAACTGTAGGCTGGAGCACATATGCCCGCAGGGCCATAGGTCCACTACAGCCCGGTTGGTCCGATACTTCTTGCAAGAACTTATCTAAATGCTTCTTGTTGACATCCACCTTCGATCCGGTAACATTTCTAATGCTTGCTGGGAGTGTGTTGAACAGCTGTGGACCTCTGATGTTCAGACAGTGTTCTCGGAGTGTGCCTATGGCGTACCTTCTCACTGGTTCATTTCCTTCCGTATCTTTCGTTCCAGTATGTTGTTACTCTACTGTGACAATTTGGGATCTGGCCTTCAAGTATCTTCCATATATATATTATTTGATACCTCTCTCCTCTCATTTTCAGAGAGAACATCTTGAGATCTTTGAGACGGTTCCAGTAGTTTAGGTGCTTTATCGTGGCTATGTATGCCATGTATGTTCTCTGTATTCCTTCTATTTCAGTAATCTCTCCTGCTCTGAAGAGGGGAAGTGAGTACTGAGCAGTACTCAAGACGGGACAGTACCAGTAATTTAAGTAGTATTAGTTACACAGTTACACACACACACACACACACACACACACACACACACACACACACACACACACACACACAGGCCTACATGTCGATGTTCGGGGATGACGCAAAGTTAATGAGAAGAGTTGTGACAGATGAGGATTGCAGGATCCTCCAAGAGGACCTGAACAGGTTACAGAGATGGTCAGAAAAATGGCTACTGGAGTTCAACACGAGCAAATGTAAAGTTATGGAAATTGGAATAGGTGATAGGAGACCAAAGGGACAGTACACAATGATGGGGAACATCCTACCTGTGACGACGCGAGAAAGAGACCTGGGCGTGGACGTAACACCTAATCTATCTCCTGAGGCACATATAAATAGGATAACGACAGCAGCGTACTCTACACTCGCAAAAGTTAGAACATCATTCAGAAACCTAAGTAAGGAGGCATTTAGGGCGCTTTACACTGCCTACGTAAGGCTAGTCTTAGAGTATGCCGCCTCATCATGGAGTCCCCATCTGAAGAAGCATATAATGAAACTGGAAAAGGTTCAGAGGTTTGCAACGAGACTCGTCCCAGAGCTACGAGGGATGGGGTATGAGGAGCGCCTGAGGGAACTGTGCCTTACGACACTAGAAAGAAGAAGGGAGAGGGGGGATATGATAGGAACGTATAAGATACTCAGAGGGATTGACAGAGTGGACATAGACGAAATGTTCACACGGAATAGTAACAACGAGGGGACATGGGTGGAAGCTTGAAACTCAGATGAGTCACAGAGATGTTAAAAAGTTTTCTTTTAGCGTGAGAGTAGTGGAAAAATGGAATGCACTTAAGGAACAGGTTGTGGAAGCAAATACTATTCATAATTTTAAAACTAGATATGATAGGGGAAATAGGACCGGAGTCATTGCTGTAAACAACCGATGCTCGAAAGGCGGGATCCAAGAGTCAATGCTCGATCCTGCAGACACAAATAGGCGAGTGTACACACACGCGCGCGCACACCCACAAAACGTGTAAACAATAGACAAACATTCCCTAGACCATTGTGTGGGCAATATTTGTCAAAGTTCTTATTTTCTCGCGCAGGTCAGGACCTATTCTTACACATGCAAACATTAGTGTCATTATTATACTTTTAGAGGTTACCCTTCTCCTCCATACTGAGAACTGACGTCAATGTCGTCTGTAGCCTTCTTGGCTCTAGCCTTGATGAACACCTCCCAAGGATACCTGATCAACCGGCCTGTAATTCATACGCCAGACTGTGACCAGCTGCGTCAAACAGCCTGGTTGTCCACACCACCAACCAGGAGGCGGCAAGGACACCGGTCTCGTGCACACAAGGTAGTAGTCATTAGGAGGGAAGGTTGGTAGGTGGGCGGGTAGTATCCACGTGATTAAAATTTGTCAGGCTTGAACATGTTCTCCATTGACAATGAAAGGCTTTATAACTATAATTGCAATTGTTATAGTTACAAAGTACTGTACTACCTTGCACAAGGGCGGAAAAGAGGGCCAACTCGAGGGTTTGTATTTATTGCTGTACTGTATGCTTGTATTGCACTCACTGCCAGGTGAGCAGAAGCATCAGGTGTAAGACCACTGCGCTACCCTTATTATATATTTAAATTTCGCTGTGTAGCCTAAATACAATTATTGTGACGTGTTTGAGTTGGTAATTATATACATGTTGATGGCTTACCTTGATGGGTGCTCGCCTCCTCCAGGCGCCCGGTCGCCGCACGCCCACGCCCAGACGCTGCTCCTCCACCCGCAGCCTGGCCATGGCCGCCCTCAGCGTCGCCTGTACGTCCTCGTCCTCACTACGGTCATCCTCACTCGCTCTTTCATCCTCGGAGGAGGAGGAGGAGGAGGAGGAGGAGCCGAAATAGTCGGAGTCGTGGTGAGGGGCGAGTGTTGGCGTGGGCGAGGTGGAGGTGACGGAGGAGTCGGAGTGGGAGCTGAGGCTGTAGTCACTAGTGTGGCTCACCTTCCTCACGAGGAACACCTCTGGCTCGCTTACTTCCTCCTCGGGTGGGTGTGGTGAGCCTCCCTTGCTGGAGTGGTCTACAGTGTGGGTGGTGGTGCTCGTCACTGCTCCTCCACACCACCCCACACTCACCACGGCACTGTACCCACCTCTCTCTCTCTCTTGCTGACTTTTGTCACTCTCACTGCCTCCTACTGTGATCACCGTCTTGTGTACTGTTCTACCCATCACTGCCCCGCTTCCCTCACCCCCTCCCACCCCACAAACGGTGGCCGTGGGCTGCACCATAACGGGCGTGGGCGTGGTGCGGGTCTGAGGTTTGGAGTGCCTGGCGACAATGGTGGTGCCAGCGGCGGCGGCGGCAGCGACGGACTCTGGGTGTTCGTGAATAATGGGTCCAGACAAGTTGCTGAGAGAGATACACACGTTATAGAACACGGGACGCCCACACGCCCACGCCTCAGACCCCTCACTGGACATGGTCTGAGGCTGGTGTGGTGCGGGGGGCTGGTGTGTGGCAGACATTACCCCCGCCACACTGCGGTGTCCGGACACTAGCACCGAGGGTCCCACACTTCCCGCCAACACAACACGGCGCCCTCACACCACCACCATCATGTGCAGATCTTCACAAAATATTCGCCACGTGTTTAACTTTTCACAAGCAGCGATGACTTGGTAAACAGTTCGTCAAAACAATAAGATAATTCCACTTGTCACACCACTAACAATCGGAACAGCGTGATTGTCTGCATTTCTTGTTTGTTTACAATCAAGGCACTTCACAACTCTCACTTATTGCGCAAGTTTATCATGTACAAGTAATTGGAACTACTGTTATATTTATATTCAAGTGTTTCAGAGTTTAATCAAATAATTAACCTGCAATTTAACAATCACAATATTTAACAACCTATCTTGTGGATCCGTTAAATACCGGACAAATTAAATAACATAAAACATTTCCAAAAAACAAAACCCAACATCAACAACATGTGTACTCCCAGCACGACGTGCTCGCAAACACCTGCAGATCACACACGCACGCACGCACACGCACACACAGACAGTTCCTCACCGGGTCATAGTCAAGAAAATTAATACATACAAACGACCACTCTCGACTGACCGTATGAATGATTGGCCAGTCACACGACTGGCCAATCATTCTCGCACCCCCAGTGTTATACCGGTGGACGGCGCGGGTAGACGGTACCGGTGGACGGCGCAGCCGAGCTGGGCCCCTCAACTTCCCATCTTACACCATTGTCATTTAAAAACACACACACACACACACACACATATATATATATATATATATATATATATATATATATATATATATATATATATATATATATATATATATATATATATATATATACATACACAGTCTATAGCTATCATTGGGTGATGATGTACCTCATCTGACCTGGCATCACTGGCAATCAGGGCCGGGATTCGTCAAATATTTACGCAACCCCCTTACGAAACCTGTACATCTCTCCTGAACCGTGGCGACTGACTTGGTCAAACAGTTTACCAACTCGGAAACTTCACGACCGAAGTTTATTACCGAGGTACGAGAGACGAGGACGTCTGTCACGACATCCTTGGTCCCTATACCTTCCCCGCTGGACTGGTCGCGTCCGTGGCCTGAAGGGATCCCAACTCTCTTCCCTATACCCAGAAATCGGGCAGCCGGGGGCGCATCCCAGCCCTCGATCGCCATTGTTGTTGTTGTTGTATAAATTCAGCTACTCGAAACAAGTTCCAAATAGCACGGGCTGTGGTGAGCCCGTAGTGGACTTACCTGGCACAGGAGCGGGGCTGTGCTGTGCTCGATCATCGTCGCCCCTCAGTAATAAACTTCGGTCTTGAAGTTTCCTAACCTAACGTAACTTAACCTAACCAAACGTCGTAGTGTTTTCGGAGCTCATAAACTGTTTAATAAATGTAAACACAACTGGCGTGATTGAGGATAGATGTACAGGTTTCGTAAGTGTATGCATAAATGCTTGATGAATCCTGGCCGCAGACGATGAGTCACAATAACGTGGCTGAAGATGTGAACGTTAACCCACACGCCAGAAGATGACGAGACCAGATACTTGGGTCCACTTGGGGACACTTGGGTCCGTCCTGGACCTCTATCACAATGGACTTGATAATGGTCCAGGGCGGACGCAAACGTCTCCTCTCCTCGTCTTCTGGGGCCAGATTCACAAAGCACTTACGATCCTGTCCATCTTTTCTCAATCTTTAGCGGCTTTGTTTACAATTATTAAGCAGTTAATGAGCCCCGAAGCACCAGGAGGCTGTTTATAACAATAACAACAGTTGATTGGAAAGTTTTCATGCTTGTAAACTGGTTAATAAATGTAACCAAAGCCGTCAAAGATTGAGGAAAGATGTACACGTTCGTAAGTGCTTGCGTAACTACTTCGTGAATCTGGCCCGTGGTGTGTGGTTTAGTGATACTCGCCGCGACTGATTAGGGGCCGGCAGTCATCTAACATTAAAACAACTGCGTGCGAAACCTATACATCTCTCCTCAATCATGGCAGCTCTGTTTACATTTATTAAACACTTAGAGCTCCGATGTGCTACGAGGTTATTTATAATAATAGCCCTGGGTTTGTGAAGTTCCATGTTCGAAAAGTGTTTAATACACGTTTAAACAACGCCGCCATTGTTGCTTTAAGACGTACGGGGTTCGTAAGTGGTTGCGTAAATGCTTAATGAATCCTGGGCTAGCACTTACGATGCCCAGCAGGAAACTCTCCGCTCCGTAGACACGGTCACGTACACCACACAGGAAGTACGTGTCAGTAAACACCAGCCAGAGAAGACAGGTTCCGTGCCGAGACACGCACACCTGCCCTCACACTACTACCAAATGTCTTATCTTAAGATTCCTTGAGGTGACCGCATCACTCACAGGTTCCTTGAACAGTGCGACGCAGTCCAGTTCCTCGTCAAGTTTTACAAAGAAAACGGAAGCATAAAATAGTACAGAAATCACTGGTTTAAGTTTTATCACGTTTGAAAATATTTCCAAGATTTTACACAAGTGTATATATATGATTTTGGACCTTCCCTCATGTACTCTCCAGGCTGAACAGCTGAACATTGTTCTCAATATTCATACAACCAGGTCACTGAGCAAACTGCACTGTCAGGACACCATAGACCCACACGTCTTAGTTTGGGTCCAACAGAGAGCAGGTGAAGAGGAAAGTGAGTGGGACACAGGGCGCGGGTGTAGCCTCACGGGGGACGGGCCGGCAGATATGGCGGGAACACCTGGAGCGGACGAGCCACCGGCCTGGCAGAGCGCCTTACTAAGAGGCAGCGGCACGCGTCCGCTCCAAAGTCTAGCGAGCAGCGGAAATAACCTTGTCCGGGCGGAGCAAGGCTGGGGAGTAGGGGGGGGTTGCTCCTGTAGGTGTTAGCATGACACACACACACACAACCCTAGTTTCACTCGGCACCCCCCCACCCTTCCCACCCCCATTCTCATCTTCAACGCCCCCTCGTGTCTCAAGGTCCACGTCTCCTCCTCACTCACCACCTGTCTGTCCTTAATCAATGCCGGTATTACATTTCAATATCATTACTTCCCCTTTTCTGACTTCCGTTTCCCCCTCTTCCTTAGGTGTTGTCTTCCTGATGAAGACAACACACTCCCCATCAACCCCTCAGAAAGAAATAAGAGATAAACTACAGGATGACCCGTACAAACTGAAGGAGTGGTCCAACAAGTGGCTACTAGAGTTTAACTCACGCTTCACTCTCAACTTTTAACTTTACTTTTCATGTAATAAAAAGGTACCAACTGGGAGATGAAATCCTTCAGGAATCAGAGAGAGAGAAAGATCCGGGGGTGTGAACCATGCGTCGCCGTAAACAATGCACCCAATTTACAAATAAATATTTTGTGGAAAAACAATATTAACATATTTCAATTTCCATTTATTGGAAGTGATAGATACATACACAGAGTTCTGGTGGACCAAAGTATGGGTCATATCCCTCAGGGAACACCAACTGTGCTATTACATCACCAGTACACACACGCACGCACGCACACACACGCACGCACGCACACACACACACACACACACACACACACACACACACACACACAACGACAGTTGAGAGGCGGAACCAAAGACCCAAAGTTCAACCCCCGCAAGCACAAATAGGTGAGTACACACACACAGTGTAAGGAATCATTCAGAACTTTGAATACCACATATGTCAGACTATTCCTGGAGTATGCAGCCCCAGCATGGAGTCCATGTCTAGTCAAGCATAAGACTAAACTGGAAAAGGTTCAAAAGTTTGCCACCAGACTAGTACCCGAACTGAGAGGTATGAGCTACGAGGAAAGACTACGGGAATTAAACCTCACGTCGCTGAAAGACAGAAGAGTTAGGGGGGGACATGATCACCACATACGAGATTCTCAAAGGAATTGATAGGGTAGATAAAGACAGACTATTTAACACAAGGGGCACACGCACAAGGGGACACAGGTGGAAACTGAGCGCCCAAATGAGCCATAGAGACATTAGAAAGAATTTTTTCAGTGTGGCTTTTGTCAGTCAGAGGCTTTGTGTCAGAGTAGTTAACAAAAGGAATGCATTAGGCAGTGATGTGGTGGAGGCTGACTCCATACACAGCTTCAAGTGTAGATATGATAAGAGCCCAATAGACTCAGGAACCTGTACATCAGTTGGTTGACAGTTGAGAGGCGGGACCAAAGAGCCAGAGCTCAACCCCCGCCAGCACAACTAGGCGAGTACACTAATACACTCGTCAGGCTTCCCCACTACCAGCCCGTCCACTCCCCTAATGTATATATGTATATATATACGTATGTAAATGTATATATGCTGGTTAGTATTGTAAATGTGTGGCCACGTCTGTGGTAGAAAAAAAAAGAAAAAAAAAAAAAAAGATAAAAAAAAAAAAAAAAAAAAAAAACTCCCTTAATACCATGCACTCTACGGACTGAGCCAATCCGTTAAAACTACAAGGTAATAGTAAAAATGTAAGCAACGTAATATTCACGTTTTCTATGCATCGGTCGCGATAGGTTGCTGGAGTTCGTACGTTTCTGGATAGGTGAGTAAGTAATTATCACAGAAGGCACCAAGCCGGGAAGGCTAGTACAAAGTGCACCTGCTTTCTGGATAGGCAAAACAGCTGCACTTTGTACGGAGCGATAAATCGGAACACTCGAATGTTACTGTATTCAAAATAACACTATAATGAGAAGGAATCCTGAGGGAGAAGGCTGGCCACGGGAGTAGATCCACTCTGGAAATGGTCAACAGGTAAAGTGAGGAAGGAGGCTCATGGACTGCCTCACACCCAAGGCGGGAACACACCCCGCCAGGAACCCTGACCAGGTATGTTGCTCTTATATTATAACGCCTGAGAAACGCCTATATTATAGCTGCCTGAGAAACGCGAGTCTTATACTTCAGCTTGTGACAGGTCATGTCAGGGTATTCCTAGAATATACCTGCAACAGGTTCTGGAAATTGATTTACTCCAAGCCCGGTCTGGTCAGGCTCGTGTTTTGATAACTTGGTCCAACAGGCTGTTGATTGCAGAGGCCCGCAGGCCAACATATCCACTACAACCCGGTTAATCCGGCACTTTTACAAGAATGTAGACGTCTAATTGTTTCTAGAACAATTGTACTGGCAGGATGTGCAGAATAACCCTCCCCCCCGTTGAAGAGCAGAGGTGCAACAGGTACTCTGAGAGAGAACTCTATCAACATCAGAGGCCCGAGACTGTTCAACACGCTTCCACTACACATAAGGGGCATAACTGGCCGACCCCTCACAGTGTTCAAGAGAGAACTATCAACATCAGAGGCCCGAGACTGTTCAACACGCTTCCACTACACATAAGGGGCATAACTGGCAGACCTCTCACAGTGTTCAAGAGAGAACTGGATAAGCACCTCCAAAGGATACCTGATCAACCAGGCTGTGACTCATACGTCAGGCTACGAGCAGCCGCGTCCAACAGCCTGGTTGACCAGTCCAGCAACCAGGAGGCCTGGTCGACGACCGGGCCGCGGGGACGCTAAGCCCCGGAAGCACCTCAAGGTAACCTCAAGGTAGAACACGTCCACTTTTGTACTAGCAATGTTCCAGATGTTTGCAAGATACCTGATAGCCGCGGACCTGCGACGTTCACCCAGTGCTCTCTGACTGCGGCTATGGCGCCACTGTATGCTTCACGGGGTCTGTACACCCTACCTTGTGGCTCGCTCCGGTGTGTGTTCTCGGCACACGACGACACCCGAGGTACACAGGAAATAACCTTCGAAGGTTTTCCCGCGTGCCGGCAGAAAAGTAGAGTACCACCCACTTCCACAGGCCAGGAAACACTCTCAGTCTCAGCCACAGAGGTCAGGGAGGTGTCAGTCAGTCTTGGTGACGCGTTACAAGAGTCAACAGGTAAACACAGGTAACCACAGGTAAACACAGGTAACACACGTATAATACACAAAGAACTCACAAGAACGTGGTATAAGCACAATCAGTCAACATCAGAGGTCAACGGGTATTCAGTATCCTCCCGGCAAATGTAACAAACGTTTTCCATAATAAATTGAAATTGAAATAAGTTTATTGAGGTAAAATACACACAAAGGGATGAGGTAGCTCAAGCTATTCTCACCCCGTTCAGTACATCGTGTTAATACATACATATACACACATCACAAACAATAAACGTATTACCAAATATTCTGAGAGATAAACATCTACATTTCCTTCCATGATAAAAGTGGACATGTTCAAGAAACAATTAGACAAGTTCGTGCAGTAAGTGCTGGACCAACTGTAATGGATGTGTGTGCCTGCGGACCGCTCCAAGCAACAGTCTGCTGAACCAAGTTATCACAAGGGCCGGGCTTAGGGAGCAGAACTACTCTCGGAACATACTTGAGGTATATTGCTACGAGAAATTTTAATTGACCGGTCCAGGGACGTGGGTTCGATCCCACCGTACTGCTTTAATATTTCTCCCGCGGCTCGTGTTCACCAGTGACCTCGAGTGGTTACCTAGTTACCCTCACCAGGAAACACCAACTTCCGGAGGTTGGGAGCGTCTGGCTCACTAGGTAAGAAAACAATTAAGTCGGGTGAGTGTGGTGCGAGTTATAGCGAGTGCGCGCGCGCGCCTCCGCCACCTTACACTCCCCACAACACTAGAGCCAGTAAGTACTACTGTGTTATGTAATGAATTCCGTGAAGTTTTTTTATTATTATTATTATTATTATTATTATTATGATTTTCTACCACAGACGTGGCCACACATTTACAATGCTAACCAGCATATATACATTTTCTTCTGTCCTCCATGGACAGGGTTAGAGATGTGTTAAACAGGGGTTTATTGAACATCCGTGAAGGTGGTGGCGGCCTGGTTGCTCTCCGGGCGGGAGCGCGGGCACCGTGCCCACCCACCTGCTGGTGAACACGGGTGGGACGCCAACAATGGGACACGTGGAGATTGAGCACCCACATGAGCCACAGGGACGTTAGAAAGAACTTTTTCAGTGTCAGAGTAGTTGACAGATGGAATGCATTAGGCAGTGATGTGGTGGAGGCTGACTCCATACACAGTTTCAAATGTAGATATGATAGAGCCCAGTAGGCTCAGGAATCTGTACACCTGTTGGTTGACAGTTGAGGTCAACCCCCACAAGCACAACTAGGTGAGTACATACAGCATGACGGCCACTAATGTAACACTTAAGATCACCTTTCAACACCAACATCTTGCCACTAGACAATAAGGTGAGTAATAAAGTGTGAGGCCTCTCACCCAGTACCAAATTAAGTGCCACCAATAACATTACATAACGACCAACTCGTTAAAAATGCGCCGTATCAGTACATTGTTGTTTGTTGTTCTAGATTTACCTACTCAGAACGAAGTGTCCATGTAGCACGGGCTATGGTGAGCCCGTAATCAGTACATATTAGAGCCCCGTAATTTTGACGTTTCCATATATATGAGCCTCGATAGGTTAAGTGGGTTGCCCGGGCTGGCACGTGTCTGGTCAAGCAAAACAGTCGCATTTGTTACGGAGTGGCAAATACTGAGACCGGGCTGGCAGTTACCAGGTGTGACCTGTCATGCACAACACCTCCCTTCTCTCATCCTGACACTCCGTAAAATATGCAACTGTTTGGCCTAACAAGAAACGTGTCAACCCGAGCAACCCACCTAACCTACCGAGGCCCATACTTAATACACGTTAATATTACGGTGTTTTAATTGTAAGTAATGAGTTGCATTTTT